TGAGTTAATATTTAGAATATTCACAAAAAAAATAAGTTATCCTAAAAAGTTAACAACACAGTCCGTTACTCGTTAATCTGTTATGTCTGCAAGTGATGTTCAGTCTAGCTAGGTTGATACACCAGGTTTTATACTTATATGGGGCGTGAGGTTAAAAGTTTGATTCCCTTAAACTACCTCTTGTGATACCGCATATGGGGAATTATTTCTAGAAATATCTATGGGGGTCGGATTTACCCTATAAAGGAGTTCGAGCTCATTGAAATATTGTGAATAGGATTTCACTTAATTTGTTTGTTGTTTCTAAAAAAATCCGCTACTTTTATCTATATAAAACTTTTAATTTTAATATTAATATTGAGTTCGTCCAATAAAGAAGGTAAATATCTAAACATGCATCCATAAATTAACTTGTGTGATAATGCAAACACAAACTCATTAATGCACACCATATAAAGATAGATTACTTGAGCTATTTATTGTGTGTTACAATAAACCAATAAGAATTTAGTAAAAATTAAATTATTATTTTGAGTTCGTCCAATAAAGAAGGTAAATATTTAAACATGCATCCATAAATTAACTTGTGTGATAATGCAAACACAAACTCATTAATGCACACCATATAAATATAGATTACTTGAGCTATTTATTGTGTGTTACAATAAACCAATAAGAATTTAGTAAAAATTAAATTATTATTTAATCAAATAAATATATATATTAAATGATTTCCATAACTATATGTATATTAAATGATATCCATAATGATAATTTTTATGGATACTAATTAAATTCATCATTAATATTCGCAATAATATTATTTCAGAATAATTTGCATCTAATTTTTCATTTATAGATTTGTATTTTGTTTAATGGCTCACTCACTCAAAATACATTAAAGTTGCGTAAAACATGGAAAGCAGAAGTGTATTCTAATAGAATGAGAGTTTATTTTAAAAGAATGAGATTATATTCTAACAGAATGAAAGTGTATTCCAGTATAATACACTCTCATTCTTCATATTCTATGCAATTTTGTTCTATTTTTAGTGAGTGGATCCATAAACAAAACACAAACTCATACATGAAAACCTAGATGTGAATTCATTTTAAAAGAATGTTATTACTGACATTAATGACAAATTTAATTAATTTTTACAAAAAAAAAAAAGAATTATAATTATGGATATCATTTAATATACATATAATTATGGAAATAATTAAATATCTATCTTTATTTAATTAAATAATTATTTAATTTTACTAAATTCATATTGGTGTATTTTAGCACATAATAAATGTAAGAAACACATTAACCTAACCTTAGATTACTTTATAAATGCTAGTGAGTGTGGTATCACACTTATCACGGTCCACGTAGGCGTCACGTCAACTTTGTTACATTCCTTCAAATTTGTGTCATCTTCATGGCAGGGGTTGCCACACTTGCTATGGTTTTTTTAATAATTAATTTTAAAAAAAATAAACATTTCAAACATACAATTTTTTTACAACTAAAATTTCATTTAGCTAGAATAATAATTAGGATTTATAAGTCAAGGGTTGATTCTGTAATTTCAAAAACTATTTATGTAGAGAGAATTTAGAATGGGGTATTTTTTGTTAGTAGACCAAACCCTAGGGAGCTTTTATGTCAAACCTGGAGAATTTTGTTTATCTTCTCCTTCATTTGAATGAATTCACAAGAAGTTTCTTTCATTTTTGTTAATTACAACTTTAAAAAAAATCCTCGCTTTCTCTCCATGTTCCCCAAACTATACACTCTCTCATTGGTACAAATCTACCGAGTTGGCGACTCAAGCTTGGCATGCCAAGAGCTCAGCCCGATGTTCGCCGAGGTACTTACCGAGACCACACTGACTAGCCTAAAAGTCTCTAACACTTCTCGTGATTGAAATATATATATATATATATATATATATATATATATATATATATATATATATATATATATATATATATATATATATATATATAGAGAGAGAGAGAGAGAGAGGATCGGCCCATTGATTTTGAAGACCCTATACGAAAAGTGAAAATGGAACCCTAAATACAATTTTTTATATATAGAATAAAAATAAATCTTAGAAAGAAAAACTATAAACTAAATTAAATTAGCTAAAAATGGAATTATGCAAATTTATAAAATTTAAGGGGTGCAATATGTAAATTTTGAAAACTAACTTACTAAAAGTATTTAACTTCTAAATATCAATAATCAAATATAACTTTAGAAATGAATTACTTATAAAAATTCACACCAAATTTAAGGCGTGGAGTTGAACTCAGGATGTATGGGAAAGAGCTACACCTCCCTACCAATTGAAATACTATTATTTTTTAAGGGGAAAATTACAAAAATTGTCTCTATGGTTTGCCAAAAATCATAAAATCAGTCGGTGCTAATTTTTTTATGCAAATGATCCTTGTAGTTTGCAAAATTTGCAAAGATGACCCTTTTTACTAACATCGTTAGTATTTAACCGTTAGGGACTGAATCTGTAAGGGCATTTTCATCTTTTCAAATATAAAAAGGCTGAATTTGTAACATTTGATAAACCACAAGGAATTCTTCAATCTGTAAGGGCATTTTCCCTTAAACAACCAAAGCCTTAACCAATTAGGCTAAATTCAGACTTGTTTTATATTTTCAAAAATGATAGATTATTTTATTTTCTTATTTTTATTAGTTCATTTTAGTATTTTTAGCTCTTTTTGTTAGTATTGCATTGTATATTATTTATTTTCTTTATCATGGATCGTATCGGGTACTTTCTATTTTTCATGAGATATTTTGTAGGGTTTTAAAGCTCATTGTGCTTGTAGTTTGACTGGAGTTGGGCTTAGTGGGCTTTCGATGCATTATTGGGTTTTGCAGATCCATCAAATGAGATTTGGGCTTAAAAAGTTAAAGATTTGGATGAAGTGGGCTTTTAAAGATGGATCATGGATTCTTATTTTGGGTATGGACTATCTATATTTAAAGCTTGAAGGTGATTGGTCAATTTCAAATCATATGAGTCTTGGAGGGAACCAAGGGAATCCTGGGTAGTGGAATGGTTAGTAGAGAAGAATAGAGCAATAGCATTCCAACAACACTTGCGATGGTGGAATCTCAGGCGCGTGGGTACCCGCGCAACTGCACACTTTTGGGTATTTTGGTCATTTTGTTTACCATTTACCTTGGGGGTTGGATCTTTCAGCAACAACTTCGATTTTCCACCATTGAAGAGCATTAGAGGCGATTTTGGAGCTTAGATACTCATTCTTCTCATCTTTCTAATTAATTGGTAGATTCTTGATGCAAAAACACTTTTGTGATTGTTATTTTGTTGTCATGAGTGGTTAATTTCTCTATTTTGGTTAACTTTGGCTAAATTATCTACAAATTGTAAATAAACTAATAATAAAATAATAATAAAAAATATATTTTTACAAAAAACATTTTTAATAAAACAAAATATATTTCTAGCATATTGTAAAAAAATTACATAAAATTTATATGCTGTTTTACGTATTTATTTTACGTAAAATATATGTTTTTATGTAATTAAAAAAATACGCTTTTGTATAATATGTTATTATATTGTTATAATCCGAAAATATACTTTTAAACACCTAAAAAAACATAATAACATATTATACAAAAGAGAAATTAAATATTCTCCTACATTTTATTTTTACGTATTTAAATATCATCGTATATATGTTTTTCTACGTATTTATTTTACGTAAAATATAGGTTTTTGCGTATTTTAAAAAATACATTTTTTTATAGTATGTTATTACATTGCTATGATCCTAAAACATAACGTAAAAATATGTATTAGAATCAAAGCAAAACGGCATATATTTTTTTACATAAAACAAACTAAAGACGTTAACATAACGTAAAAATGCGTTATCGTACAATATGTTACCACGTTAATGTTTGTACGTAGAAAAAATAATTGCATATTCGCTTTAAAATCAACTAAAGACGGTAAGATAACGTAAAAGTATATTTTAGGATTATAACTCAATAACATATTATACGAAAATATATTTTTAAATATATAATAAACATACTTCACATAAAATAAATATATACAAAAAAAAACTTTTTTATGTTTTTTTAGGATTATGTTTTCGTATAATATATTATTATGTTTTTTTATGTATTTAAAAGTATATTTTCGGATTATAACAATGTAATAACATTTTATACGAAAACATGTTTTCTAAATATATAAAAAAAAACATATTTTACATGAATTTAATACGAATTATTTTTCTAGGTGAGAGAAAAAAAAAACTTATTTTTATATGAAAATGTAAAAATACGTTTTAGGATCATAGCAATGTAATCTTTAAATATTACTAAAATAAAACCTTAAATTCTTCAATGAAGAAACAAGGACCCTTGATTGCATTTTCCTCCTTTAGTCTCCACCTTAGCATCATTTTGCTGACATCATCCTTACCCAAAAAAAAATACACGCACCTCCCGAATAAAACTTCCTTCTTACGATTCATTCCTAATTTCATTCTTATGTTTTCTCTCTACACAATCAACACAATCAGCTCCCCATGAAACTCAATAGATATGAACCCTAACCCCTTCCTTCTGCTGATATGCGTAACCCCATTGATTTCATATATACATGGAATCGATCCTATGCGTTCTACTTCTGTTGATATGGAATCGATCCTATGCGTAACCCCAGGAAGCCCTGAGGGGCACCGCGTCTACCATCAACGATTTTCGATCATGTGTGTTCTACTTCAGATGCAGATGAAATATGTTAAAGCTCGATTAGGAGATCGAGTTCTTTATGCAGGTAAGATTTTGAAAACCCTAATTTCTTTATCAATTACAATTTCAGGTCATAAGTATAGTTAAAGATTTGTGGGAAAATGAAGCTGATCTTTGTGCATATCTATGCAATATTCAGCAAGAAAGGCTGACTGGATCTTTTAAAACTACTGGTTACACCATGTTCTTTTTAGAGGCCTTACGTGTCCCCCCTACAAAATTTATCCCTGCTGCCAAAGCAGGTGATGTTGTAAGTATTGAGTTTTATTATAAAGACATTATATTTTAATGCTATTCTTTTTTGAGTTTTTTTTTCATTAAAACTACTAGTTACACCATCTAAAAAATGCAAATACTGGGATATGCCAGTTGCTTGAGAAGAAAGAGGGAATCTTTCGCCAAAAAATGATGGGCAAAAGAGTCAATTATGCATGTCGATCTGTCATTTCACCTAATCCTTATTTAGCTGTTAATGAAATCGGTGTTCCTCCTTATTTTTTCCCTAAGGTTGACCTACCCCGAGGTAATTTTATTTTTACTCATGCACATAATATATTTATTACATCTTCATTAAAGATAACTTTTTTTGATTAAATTGTTTTCAGAGAGTGACTCCTTGGAATGTTGTGAAACTAAGAGATTCCATAATTAATGATTCTGATATTCATCCTGGAGCTACTCATTATGCTGATAAGGTGTGTTGATAGGATTCAATGATGACTAATTTTGTAATATATTCAATTAACGAATTTCAATCTAATCTAGGTTCAACAGGTGTCAACTGCGAGACTACCTCAAAGCAAAAAGATGCGTATTTCTATATCTAGAAAGTTACCTTCTTCTAGAGGCACAACTATACAATCCAAAAGCAGCACTGACTATGAATTCGAGGGTAAAATAATTTATCGCCATTTACAAGATGGAGATATTGTCTTTGTGAATCGTCAGCCTACACTTCACAAGCCCGGTATTATGGCTCATGTAGTTCGAGTATTAAAAGGGGAGAAAACTCTTCGTATGCATTATGCAAATTGCAGGTTAGAATAGTTCTGTTTGTCATATTGTATTATTTTATTGTTTTTAGGTTTCATGGTGTTAAATATTAATTTTAGTTCCTACAATGTTGATTTTGATGGAGATGAAATGAATGTTCATTTACCACAAGATGAGGGTCATGACTATGCAATGGTAATTAAGTATATTGTTTTCATTTTATATCTATTTTTTTATTATGACTTTCAGGAATAATATTTTGTTTCTATATGTTGTCAATGAGTAGGTATTGGTGTTTCAAGGTGGAGCAGGTTGGAATCTCTAACCACAAAAGGGAGATGAACTTTGTAATTGGTGTTTCAAAAATAGGTTAGTCA